GGGCCAGGGCTGGGTTCTGGAGGGCGTGGCGGGCGCCGCTGACCGCAGCTGTGCATGCTGCAGGGGGTTCCCGTTGAGCACGAGCGTCTGCAGGTGCACCAGGCGGCGCATCTGCGGGGGCAAGCTCTCCAGGCGGTTCTCGCTGAGGTCCAGGTACAGCAGGTCAGTGAGGTTGATGAAGAGCTGGTTGGGGATGGTGTCAATGCTGGGGCAGGAGGGAGGGAGAAGGGCAGTCAGGCAACCCATCAGCAGCGCATGCCCCCCTGGACCCACCTGCCCCCACTGTGCTGTGGCCCACCCCACGCACCTCCCGGCCTGACAGGCACCTGTTATGGCTGAGGTTCAGCACCAGCATGTTCTTGGCGTTCTCCAGCTCCCGAGGGCACTCCGTCAGCTGGTTGTAGCTTAAGTCCTGGGTAGGAGGGATAAGGTCAGGTCAGGGGTCAGGCTGGGGGATCAGGCGGGCACTGAGAGGGGAGCAGCTGAGGGGGTTTCAGGGCCAAAGGGAGACAGCCAGACCCTGGCAGGAAGGGTGCCTAGGTTAAGGATCTGACTCCCTGAGGAACCTTGGGCAAGGCACTGACCACTCTAAGCCTCAGTTTTCCTGTTTGTAAAAGGGGATAACAATGGCCTCAGGGACCATCACAGTGGGTGGGCAGCCACTGACCAGGACTGAGAGGTCATCCAGCTTGAAGATGTCATCGGGTACTCCAGAATTCTTCAGGCTGTTGGCTCGAGCCACGATAGCCTGGGGATAAACCAGGAGAAGCAGAGATCAGGGAGGGCCGCCCCTCAGGAAGTTCACTGGAGGCCAGGCCTGAGTGCCCCCCTGGCCTTGCACATAGTCCCTCCACCGGGCAGGGTCTTCCTATTCTCCCTATGAGCTCCTATTCACGCCTCAAAGCCCAGCTCAAATGGGCCCCAGAGCCCAGTTCTCAGGGAACCTTTTCTGATAGAATATCCCTCTTCTTCTCCTTTCCAGAGGGCAAGACAGGGCTGTAGCTCTGCGTCGGCTTCTAGAACAGGGAGGGGTTGGCCCAGAGAGACCAGTGTGGACTGAGTGAGTCTGTTTGTTCTCCCCTTAGGACTGAAACCTCGTATTACAGACGTGCTGAGAGTCTGAGGGGGAGAGAGGAGGGGTCGGCGGGGAATGGTGCTGTGATTACAAGTAACAGCAGGGCCCGGGCTGTGGCCGCCTCTCCTTCACCCGTCTGTGCGGTACCTGGTGTTCACAGCAGTTCCCGCGGAACCTCCCCGGAAAGTGGAAGGGACTTGTCTGAGGTCACGAGGGCAGGAAGTGGCAGAGCTGATTGGAACTCAAGCAGCCTGAGTCCTTACCATCTCGGGGTTTGGCTTTGGGTGGGAACGGCCTTTGCCGAGGCCCCAAAGGTCTGGCCGAGCCTGTGCTCTGGGCTACCGGAAGCTCCATGAAGAGGAGCAGTGTACGCAGGCCGCACTGACCACCTCCCCTTCTGCCAAACCCCCACCCCAGCTCGCCCGCTGCCTGGCTCCGTGACCTCTGGCAAATGTCCTCATCTGTGAACTTGGCAGAGGTCAGGATTATAAGGAAAACCCACATGGAATAGTGCTTAGCCACTACCAGTCGTTATTATTGTAGTCGTTGCCCCAAATAGGTGGAATTTTGGATACTTTCTCTTTTTTACCCAGAGGCTACTTAACACAGGACATTATTATATTCTCTCCCCTTCAGGAAGGACACGGGGTGGGCAGGGGTGATGGCCCAGCTAGGGGTCTGGCCCTGCCCTCACGCCCCTGGCTACACTCCAGTCCCCACCCCCAAGCTTGGTGGCCTCTGCAACACTCACCCGAAGAGATGGCAGGCTGGACAGCTCCCCGTGGAGTGTGGTCAGATTGTTGTGGCTCACAGACAAGTGCTCCTGGGCCAGGACGAAGAGGCAGGGACTCAGTGGGGGGCTGGGGTGTCTATGGAGTCTCCACCTGCCACCGTGACTCTGCACCATTCAGGGGTCCCTCGGCCACACGGCCCAGTCCACCTCTACAGCCCCCTCCCGCACACACCCAGCATCTCCCTCTGCCAGCTCTGCTCATGCCTGTCAACACCGTTCTCTGTCATCTCCTCTGGACTGCTCTGTCCACCTGCCCCAGCCCCCACGGTACCCACCCTGCCCACTGACAGCTCCTTACCAGCTTCTGCAGGGCAGCCAACTCCTCTGGCAGGTAACAGAGGCCGGTGCGGTTCAGCTTCAGCCACCGAAGACTGGTCATGGCCTTGACATTCTCAGGGAAGTAGCCTCCCTGAGGGGCATTGATGGTGAGGCTGGTCTGGAGAGGAACGTCCCCGCTCTACCACCCTCTATGGCTCCCAACTGCCCATGGAGACCTCTGGGAGCACAGACTGTGTGGCCCTGGACAAGGCACTCTGCTCTCTGCGCCTCAGTTCCTCACATAAAAGAGGGCTGGGAAAGCCCCTCGTGACAGGCGTTGTGAGGAATGAGTAATCATTAGGATGGCTGTGGGCCTAAGGTCGTCTCTTGCTGGAGGATCTGGATGGAACTGGCTAGTTCCAGGTGACATCTCAGCACCCACCTGTGTGCTCAGCTTGGCTCAAATGCCTTCACCCAGCACCAGGCTCTGCCTGCACCACCGAGTGTGGGGGTGCCCCCTGAGCCTCTGCCTCGGTCAGTGATGGCGAACCTAGGACACGTGTGTCAGAGGTGACACGCAAACTCATTTTTTGGGTTGATTTTTCTTTGTTAAATGGCATTTAAATATATAAAATAAATATCAAAAATATAATCTTTGTTTTACTATGGTTGCAAATATCAAAAAATTTCTACATGTGACACGGCACCAGAGTTAAGTTAGGGTTTTTCAAAATGCTGACACGCCGAGCTCAAAAGGTTCGCCATCACTGGCCTAGGTCCTACCTGTGCCCTCACCTTGCCCTCAGCCTACAAGCCATTTGTGGCAAGATCCAAACCCCTAGTGCAAGGCCCCAGCTACCCCCTACACAGGCACTGCCTCATTCGTCATTCAGTCCCCAAATTCGAATGGCAGGGAGCCTGGGCAGCATATGCCTTCAGGGCCCTGGCTGGTGCCCCTTCCCCACACAGCACACTCCCAGCCGGACTCAGACTTCCAATCTGGGAAGGACACATGGAGCCCCCGGGTGAGGGGGGTGGACAGGGAGGTAGAGGAGAGTGGTGGTCACCTGTGCGTGGGTCAGAGGTGTGTGCACATGATGGATCAACGCAGAAAGAGCCTGCCTCCTCCTCAGGCCTGGCCCGCAGTCTGGCTCCCCAACACTAAACAAACTCCAGCCGAGCCTGCCCACTCCCCTCCCTCCATCCTGGCTGACCCTCCTGTGCCAGGCCAGCTCTGCCCCCCATCCTGGCCCGCCCCCTCCGGTCACTGGCCCTGCCCACCGCATCCCGGACGCTCTAGCAGCGCCTCACCCACCAAGTGGCGGGCCGGCTGGGCGCAGACTCCGGTGGCCCTGGCCATCCGCCCCGCCGCCCCGCCGCCCCGCCGCCCTGAGCTCCTGCCGCGCTCCCCGGCCGCGCTCCCCGCCGGTTCACCGGGCCTCCCAGAGGGTGGCTTTTCAGCCCCTCGCGGGTGAGAAGCCGCGGAGGCCGGGAGAGGAAGTGACTTGCCCAAGATCGCACCGGAACCGGGCGGTGGCGGGGCACCGACGCGGGGGCAGTCGGCTGCCGGCGGCGCGGCGAGTGAGTCGGGGCCTGATGGGCGCG